TCAAAAGACGCATCATTGTGGCGCAGAAGCTCCCAGTTGTTTAGAGAGTTTTACCAATGGTAAATGCATGTCTGCTATCGTATTTAAGGTGTTTCTTATCACCAACTACGGCGGTATTCATTGACGTTGATCATATTTTAAGATTCAAAACGCACTGAATTAACATTTATTAAAAAAAAAACCTTTCCTAAAAAAGAAATGTAATTTTTTTTTCTTTTTATCTTTTTGTGTTTTCCTTTTCTTTCATAATTTTTTTTTTACCTAGTGTTGTTTGCTTAGATTTTATGTCACTGAGTACTTTAAATTTCAAAAATCAAAAACTAAAAAAAAATTTTGATCTTTTTGGTTTATTGCTTTCTTCTTGTGTCCATCGACGAATATTTTCATATGCACTTTTCTACAATTGTCTTTGTCACCTTTTTTGTATTTTGTCTTTATCTGTGTCCGTGTCTGTATTCGTTTAGTGTCACTTTGAGGAATTAGATGAATGCAAAAGTTATATATAAACTTATTGTGAATGATGATAAACTGTTTACAACATTGTTGCAGCTCAAGTTTACGTTCAAGGTACATAAAACTACGGGATACAGGAAGAAATGTATTTCAGTTGAAATTTCTACAGATTACTGTGACTAGTTTTAACACAATCTTTTTGAAGATTTTTCTAATAACTTGTTAAGAGAAGCGAAGAGAAAACATTACTTTTCTTTCTCATCTCTGTCCATCCTCTTCTTCATCAAAAAAAAAATCTGGTACGGTTATTGAGCAAAGAGAAAAAAGCAATTGAAAAAAGTGATTAAACAGTATTTTTTAAAAAAATAATTCTTTTCTCTGAACAATTTTATAAAAACAGTTTTTGTGCTCATTACTAGAAAAAAATTTTTTTTTATTTTTATCGGTTGGACTTTACACCGCTTAACTTTTCTTAAAGGTTTTAAACTTCAAAACATAAAACTCAGATATTGAAGTGTTTCTACTTTTAATACTTTTCTATCGATGAGATTTTTGCTGCATCACACTTTAGCATTTTATTGAGTTTGTATTTAAATATTTGTTAAGCAAAATACTAGTTCAATTTTTTTACTTTTTTCTTCTTGAGAATACAGTTTTTTCAACACATTTTTTGTTGGTTGAATCAAAACTATCAGCTAACGCCAAAAAAAGACAATTTTATGTCTATATTGATCAAGTAATCTATTTTTACAATAAAGAAAACGTTAACGCCTGAATTTAAAAAGAGAATTTATGATATTTATCTGTTATTATAAGCGGTTTCTTCAGATTTGATAAATGCCGAAATTATTGATGTTTTATTTGTACAGTAATGATATTACTTTGCAGCATGACAGTTTCAGAGAGAAAGTCTGGTAACCTGCTGCACTTGGACAAGTTAGTCATAAGGCTCAAAAAATCCGTTTTATTTATCTCACGGCCATTTGAGCGTTAGTGTCCG